TGTCACCAATTGTTTCCAACCATAGATTTTTGCCGTCCCGAGGACCCCAGCCTGGAAGTCTACACCTTTCTACGTGGCTTAGACCAACAGTTGTGGATTTCATTGACTGATGCCAAGTTTTTGTTTGACCGCCGCTAGCTTTTTTCCAGTCTGACCCTATATCCCCTAACATAGCTCGTCGAGGGAGGCGATGGCTTGGCATACGTAACACATGTCCTAACCATCTCAGTCTTTGTAACTTCACAACTTCATCGATTGATTTCCCCTGTTTACCTAGAACTCTACGCCTAACCTCCATGTTGCTCACCTTATTATGCCACTTTACTCAACAAATCAATAGTGTTACATGTGATTTCATTTTAGATAACGATAAAACAAAAAGAGAAATAAAAGAAAAAAAAAGAGAGATTGTTTCATCTATCTTTGAATCAATGACCTCTTTGTTCTACTATAACACTGTATCACCTGTATGTATGACCTGTGTTAAACGCTTATGTGAAGAAAAAGAACCTGATGTATGCAAATGATGAAAAGATGAACTTTGAAACGCATGAAAACCCTTTTGCATACTCGATAAACTAAGCTGATTTTTGTTGTTGTTGTTGTTGCTAACAATAACTAAAGCAAATCGAATAGTCATTCAATTTATATTAATTAATAACCTGATTGAGATACCGCCCAAATAATGAATATATATAGCAAAATGAAATAATGGTGTGTGAATAGTGGCTAACACTGATAATAATACAATAATAGACAGATTATTATTTTTTTGTTTAATATAGAAGTTCATTTAACTCAACTCAATCTGAATTAATTTTATCATTGAATGTAAGTAAAACTCCGCCCAAAATAAGCTGGATTTAGGATGTAGAAATCAGGTGATAATAAAAGTACGATGTCACACAGCGCTATCGTCATCATCATAAGCATCATCATCATCACCTTAGAACAAAGCACTGAATGACAATTATCTCTATCGACTATATCTACCTTAATATCATTGGCTTTGAAAATGTCTTCGACATGAAATAATTTGAAAACTGCTTCAACACTACACAGTACCACAACCTCATTCAAAAGCTTATATGATGATGCCACAAGCCAAATGATTCACGACAGTCAACTCTCAGTGAAGCCTTTAAAGTGAAGACAGGTGTAATACAAGACTGCCTACTATCAGCGATGATATATTGCTGATAGTGTTGGAGTGGATCGTACAACAAGCCATCGAGTAAGAGGAGATGCGCATATGCTGGGTTGATGAAGGGAAACTGGAAGATCTAGAGCAAGTCACTATCCACCAATTGATTTCAAGTTACATGAACAGACATCATTGAAGCATCTGCACTAGAAGCCAACACGTCAACTTGAGATCCGATGAATTGACGGGAAAAAATCTAAATTGAATTAAATAATAAATAAGATTAGTTGAACAAGAGGCAGCTCTCGTGGCCCGAATGGTCTAGTGGATGACGCTTTGATGTTTGAAACTATGGGCCTCGGTGAGAACACTATCACTCACTCACTGGGGAATGCAGGTACATCCATTGGCTGGCGAGTCTCAGATAGGAGAGGAATGTGCATCCTGGATTCCACTGCTAGTCACTATCGGCCAGTTGACTTCAAGTTACATGACCAGATATCATCGAAGCATCTGAACTAGGAGCCGACATGTCAAGCTGAGACCAAACGCTTCAGTAGAATCAACCAACCCGTAAATCTAAATTAAATAAAATAATTAGTGGATGATTTATGTATGATGTCGCACAGCCCCGAAGATCTACTAGCGGAGACCAAAAAGTTAGAAGAACAGCTTCTGAAGACAATGTAGAAATCTACCACGCATACACATACACACAGGATAAGGAACGAGATCCAAGGTGGTGCTTCTATATGATTCAGACACTCAGAATACGCATCAATAATAATATTCCCAACAGGCTATTGCGGAATTCCAAGAATAACTGACTCCCATCAACACTGAAGACAATGAAACAACCAACAACCTACTGCCTAACAAATATGCGAGAGGAAATAGTGATGGATTGGAAAAATGCCGAGAAGACCGTTGAGTGTAATCACACACTTGGTAAACCCTCGAGCAGTACCCGGATTAGCTGTCTTCGATCATAGGTGCCTGCACTCTATCTCCCGTGTGGAGTTGTATAATAAGGTGAGCAATATTGAAGTTGGGCGTCGAGTGCTAGGTAGGTGGGATGGGAAATCAATCGACGAGGCTGTGAAGTTACATCGATTAAGATGGTTAGAACATGTGTTACGCATGCCTAGTCATCGCCTTCCTCAACGGGCAATGTTAGCTGACATAGGGTCAGGTTGGAAAAGAGCCAGCGGTAGTGAAACCAAAACATCCCACCAGTCAATGAAATCTACAACAGTTAGTCTAAGCCACGTAGGAAGGTGTAGACTTCCTGGTTGGAAACAATTGGTGACATGGCTCAAAGTGATCGTTCTCAATGGCTAGCGCAGATGCATCCACTCCTTGTGACTTATGATTTCCAATGAAACTATATTGTTCTTCATTATCACTATTCCTTTGTCTCACACCTCTGTTTACTGTCTCTATTATGCATTTCTTCTACCTTCTTTTCTTGCTTTGTGTGGTACAAGGAGGGAGTATGGCGACTTGAACTACCGCACATCGGTGCAAAGTTCAATGTCGAAAACAGACAGACAGACACAGACAGACAGACCCGAGTGGAGGATGAGGAATTCGGCATTGAACCGAGGACAACTTGAAGGATATCGTGTGGGGAGGAAATGAAAGTATATGAACAGTCATGAAGTCAGATAAAAACGACTTCAGAGAGTATAATGGAATGGCAACGTGCTGCTGAAGCCTTATGTTCCACTGGGAGCCCAAGACAATAATATTATTAATAAAATAGCAATGACTAACTCAATCCAACATATGTATCAAAGGTATTAAAGAAGGAGGAAAACCGAAGTTAAAACTGTACTAGCACACTCCTATAAAGGTAAAATACTATCTTACACCAGTCTTATATAGATATTATGGTATGATACAGATAAGATGAAAATATTAAAGAACATGTAAAGCTTAAATGGATGATTTCAGGGCAACAGTATTCTTCGAACGGAATGGTTCAACTGCCTATCTAGACAACATCTTCAGTGCTAATGTCAATATGAAGTGAGCTTTTAGAATTCTCCATGAGTATAATAATCACCTCTCCTGACTGGTTGTCTGTTTCAGTAATATTAGAACAATAATATTAGTAATATTAGAACAGTAATATCGAAAATCATTATAAAACGTAAGTGTACACAGTCAGCAGAGATGACTATCAATGTAGTCTTGAACGTATACAACTTAAAATCTATATCGACTAGGTGTGTGACATCCTTATTCAATCAGGTGATACACTACTGTTGTGTAGTGTAATTTTATATTGAGTGTTACGAAGACAGAGTCGGTAGAGACCTCCGTTTAACTTGTTTTGTGGTTGGCGATATTCATTTAGGCAAGTCATACTCGGAATCTTCAGTAAACTCAAATTGTGTCAGTAATAAATGTATTCGAGAATAAATAGCTAGATTGGCAGGCCTCTACCGACATGCACATGTAGTCCACCTCTACAAGGAAAGATGCGGTTATGGCCTAAATGGTGTGGCCGACCTTGAGTCACTTAAATTCGGATCCAGAATATAAGAAATCCACTGATCCAGTAATACAGGCACACATTGAGCATAATTATTAACAAGCACGAAACATAAGCAAATAGTTGTACTTGCAATGATGCCCCACACAACTAATCTGTAGGCATTTCTAGTTTAAAGATAGTGAGCAAAATGTTTGAGAAGTTGCATTGGCCCCCGTACAAAAAGCCCATTCACCGTTAGGCAAACTGCATCACCTCTAGTACAAGTGCCGTACCCGGTAATCCGTCGAACGCTGAAGAAAGGTGTAGATATGAAAAGACTAACAGTTTTTTATTTAACTGAATTTTAGATTTTCCCGTCGATTGATTGGATCGAAATGCAGGTACATCCAGTTGACGAGTCCCAAATAGGACGAAATGCGCACCCTGGATTTCACTGGTAGTCACCAACTACCAACCAGTTAACTTCTATTACCAGTTTTCGGCGTTGGTGGCACAGGTGTAGAGTGCTGGCAGACAACGCAGGTGGTCAGAGGTTCGATCCCCGGTCGATTCACTCCTTTACCTCGATAAGCCAGTAGTAAGACTGGTAATGACAGAAGGTTGGGTATGAAGCTAGCAACCCAATCCAGTAAAACAAAATCACCACTGCCTCCGGCTTGAAGCCCTATGTTCCACTTGGAACGTAAAGGAATAGAAAAGAACAGTTTTCGACTACAAATACCCTTCATCCAACCTCTCTTGTTCAGTGATCTAATATGGTCAGTAGAAATGAGGTTAAGTGAGGAGTGTTAGGTAAAGATGGAGGATTAGTCAATGGGTTTGCGATATTCTATTGATTGAGATGACAAAGATATGTGTTATATATACCAAGACACCGAATTCATCGACAACAATTGTTAACTAAAACACACAGATAAGCTACAAAAGAGTTAGGAGTAGACACACCAAAAACACAGCATCAATTTATGAAGACTTTGCCTGTTGATTTAACGTGTACTGAGGATGCTAAGAAACAATAGTTGGAGCATGCTAATGACTTGACTCAAAAGCGTTCAGATCCTGACTCATCTTCATATAAGTGTTATTTCTCCTGTTCATTTTCGTCTGTTGTAATTTTCTTCTACTTCTTTCAACTAACTTTATGTATACTTTTTCGACATGTTGCAACGTATGTGCTGCTATCCTTTTGTGGGAATTTCAACATTAAACCATCTCCTTCAGTCAGTTCGGTCAACTGTTACCCACTCACATTGAATACCAAGGTTGAGATAAAAGGTGGGTTATTAAAAGGTAAAAAAAAACAACACCAAACTACTAATTGTTCATTCATACAGAATTACCAAGGGAACATACCGATTGATTAGACAGACTAATATATCTACAACCAAGTGATAAAGTTCTTGAACAAATCCATACAAACAATCTTTAATAGTCCAATTCAGTGAATACTGATCATCATTATCATCATCACCACCAACATCATGATGGACACCACCACCACCACCATTACGTACAATTTTGCGTAAAAATGGTTCAAAGATAAGTTGATTCAATGTCTCCAATGAACAATTCAATAGGTGAGCAGCACGTTGAGCAGCTTCATAATTTGTAAAATAAATAAATACACTGTCACGTCTATTTACTACATCTTGATGACAATAACCAGCACAACCTAAATGATAGATAACAGCAAGTAGGCGTGCCAATCCACCAGTTAACCATTCTTCTTTGATATTAAACTCTAACTGTTCAGCATCACGACACAGCTGATTCCAATAGATTTTAGCGGATTCTTTATCTTCCGGCTGAAATGAAATAATAATAATAATAATAATGAAAATAATTCAAAATATCATTCTGTTTTTGATAAAAATGTCTGGTTTGGTATAGTAGGCGACAAAATGACTAAAAGTTGAGCAATACAAACAGTACAGTAAGGCAATAACAACACCAAAACAACAACAACAACATTGTGACGCACGGTCACAGGGTTGGCTACTGAAATCAATAAAGACAAAGAAACGGCTAAGACAAAATCAAGGTACACTTCACAGATATCTTCATGTGACTGTTGAAATTTTCGTTCTAATGAGATGACCAACTCAGGATCAACAACGTTCGATATGAATACGTTACCATTATATTATTATTATTATTCTCTTGGGTTCTGAGTAAAACACTGGGCTACAACAACACATCTTCATTTCATCATCTTCTCTGCAGTCCTCCTCTTGGCTGGTACCACAATTGCCAACAAACCTTCATTTCCTCTCCACACGATCTCTTCCATGTTACTCTCGTTACCACAGCGCAACTCGTCATTTCCCGTTCGAATCCCAGTTGACGGCCTGCATGGCGAGTGATGTCATTCAACAGTCTCCTCAGCGCATGTCTAATCCATTTCCACTATCTCCTGCATATTTGTTGGGTCGTAAGTTGACAGCTCGTTCGTTGGCTTAGTTTCTTGTTGCTTACCCTTTGTGCCGGGTCACCTGATCTTTAGTATAGAGCCAGCGAAACCAGCTATTGATGAAAATTTTCAAGAGCCCGGTGGAAATACTTTTGCTGACTCACGTGAAGTCCCTGAACTATACAGAAGGAGTGAATGACTTGACAGTAATGTTGAATATCCGAATCTTGTTCGTTATTGCGGATTGCAGTAGATTTCTACAATGATTTCACAAGAATGAAGGTTTGTCTTGCTTTTTGGATACTGGCTGGCTTTGAAGTACTTATCTGTGACATTTGTAGGATTGAAACTATGCACCGAAAATTCGTGAAATAGGTAACACATCTATTAAAATTTCACCCGTTGACGGTGATCACTACTGTCTTCTCTATGTTCCCTTGAAATTCTGTCTTCTCCACCTACCCTTTCTGATAACCTTTTGGTTTTCACCTGTAGATTTTACAGTTTATGTAACACCAGACGTTCACGAAATCCAGATCTTCTAGAGTCGTCTTGTCGCTTCAACGTACACCTATCTTCTCTCCCCCTACGATTTATTTCATAATTCAGTCCACCACAATCAGGAATATTATCAGTAATACGTCACTAGATTTAAGTTCAATCATTCTTCTTTTTCAGAAAACATGCAACTATCATGAAATACCACAGAGGAGTAACTAATTCTCATTAAAAAAATGCAAAGTAAGTGAATGCATTTCACTTAAATTATTCCAACAATAATAGAAATTTATTTAATTCAATTTTAGATTTACCCGTCGACTGATTGAACCGAAGTGCTCAGTCTCAGGTTGACACATCGGCTGCTTCTTGTGCAGATCCTTCGATGATGTCTGGTCATGTAATTAGAATTTAGTTGGTGAATGGTGACTAGCAGCGGAATCCAGGATGCGCATTTCGTCCTGTTTGGGTTCCGTCAGCTGAATGTACCTGCATTCCCCAGTGAAACTATGGGCACTGGGTTCGAGCCTCGGTGGGAACATCATCACTCACTGGGGAACGCAGGCACATCCAGCTGACGAGTTCCAAATAGGAAGGAATGCACCTCCTGGATTCCACTGCTAATCACTATTCATCATTTAACTTCTAATAATAGAAATTCACTGTTTACAGAACTCAGCACAGTGACAGCAGGGTTTCGAATGAGATTTAAAAAAACAGTTATGGAGATTTTCTAATGCCTAACTTAGTTTAGCTGTTATGCGATCATTAATATTCTTTCTTTGCCCTGAACAACATTACGCATTAAACTGCGAATACAGCACAACACACATTTTTCAAACATTTCAATCTCAAAAAGTGCTACCTGAAGCTGAATTTCCTTACTAATAAATATTACATTTTTTGAGTTTCATTTTTTAATACAATAAGACCCTTTGATACATCTGGATAGCATAATTGAAAGACAGAATAGATGTCTCTCCTAAACACTGACTATTTTCACCTGCTCACTTTATTTCAAGACATTGCTAGTTATTTTATTGCTGAAATGTATCTTTATTGTATCAATAATTCATTCAGTGCAGTGGATATTTCTGTCTAATAACTACGAATGTGATACGAGATTTTTGAGATGTTGTCCATTGATGGTTCCCTTTACTGTTCATATCAATTGAGCAATACAGACATGTGTATGTAATCAAACTGGGAATTTATAATTTAAGAAATCTGTTCTGGATTACATGTTTTTTCTTACTTTATTTAACTATAAAAATACAAACATTCTAAACACCAAGAGATGAGCAACACAAAATCTAATAGTTTGTGCAAGGGCTAAGAAACTCCCGAGACGCCCAGATCGAAGCAAATGGGTGTCTGCAGAGTCTATCCATTCGGGTCTTTAACTTGAAGTCTGATACACAAGGCAGTAGAGCAGCGTAAAAATCTACGGTTTTCCACGATTCCTGGTGACCAAAACAGGTCCATGTGTCATTCGGATTCCGGAGTCTATGTACACTATAGGCTTGGAATCAGGGTTTTCCAGCTCCTCTAGGTAGACCTGTGTGTTCACTAGTTCGATTATCAGTACCAGACATTCTCATTTATCCGTCTCCTTCTGTAATGGACACCCCGCCAAGTGAAGGCAGTGAATAGAACCTGTCTGACAAAGTCTGTTAACGCGTGATCACATGAGAGGATTTCGAGGGAAAAGACCGAAGTCCACCTATCCACGGCCATAACAACTTGTTTATGTTCCGTCTTAAGGATAAACTGTTGGATACTATTGGTGACACTGCTCCGAATAGATCACAATAACCCAGAAGCATTTACTTTGAAACATTTGTTTTAAGATCTGAAAGTCTTTATTAATTCAACATTATCTTGAGATTAGGCGTCGAGTGCTAGATAAGAAGGGAAAATCAATCGACGAGGTTGTGAAGTTACACCGATTGAGATGGTTAGGACATGTGTTACGTATGCATCCATAGCCATCACCTTCCTCGACAGGCAATATTAAATGACATAGAATGGATCAGGTTGGAAAACAAGAGCTAGTGATGGTCAAACCAAAACGTGGCCTCATCAGTCAATGAAATCCACACCAGTTAGTTTAAGCCAGACACGTAGGAAGATGTAGACTTTCCAGCTGGTTGGGGTCCTTTGGGTGGTGAGAACCAATGATGGGTGCTGAAGACAATTGGTGATATGGTTCAAAATCCTTCTCAATGGCTAGCGAAGGTGCATTTACTCTTTGTGATTTATAATATGCAATAAAATTCTGTCCTTGCATAATACTATTCTTTTTGCCTCACAATTCTGTTGGTTATCTCTGTTTTGAATCTGGGTTTACTCTCTTCTCTTTCCTTTGTGTGCTACAAGCAGGGAATGTGGCAACCCAGACTGCAAGGTTCTATATTAATTTGTAATTTATATTCTAATTACATTTCTGTTTTATTTTCTCACGATTTGCACAGACTTATAGATATCTTGACTTTAAGAAAAACACCAATAGCAGGAACAGGAGTATATACTGAATACCGATGGGAAATAACTTATAAAATACATACTATTTATTAATAATTACTAAAACCATTTTGGTACCGCCTATTCAGGTATATCGAATAGTCATAGCTTTCAAATAATTCAGTCGTTAAATCTGAACTATAGCTTCAGAGATCAACCCGCCCGTGGCTCTACATTCATTGAAATTTATAAAATATAGGGAAAACAACTAACATTTAAAAACTTCATTTTAATAAGAATTTAACTGATGGATGGTGACTAGCAGTGGGATCCAGGATAAGGCGCAGTTCGTCCTATTTGGGTTTCGTCAACTGGATGTACTTGCATTCCCCAGTGAGTGATGACGTTCCCACCGAGGCTCAAACCCAGCGCCCATAGTTTCACTGGAGAATGCAGGTACATCCGGCTGACGAGCCCCCAGCAGGACGAAATGCGCCTCCTGGATTCCATTGCTAGTCACCATTCACCAACCAAATTCTAATTACATGACCAGACATCATCGAAGGATCTGCACAAGAAGCAGCCGATGTGTCGACCTGAGACCGAGCACTTCGGTCTAATCAGTTGACGGGAAAACCTAAAATTCAGTTAAATATTCAGCTTAATAAGAATGTAAAAATGAAGATCAGATGAGACCATGCTTCTGTGCATAGTAGTGTGTTATTTGAATTCAGTCCTCGGAGAGGTTTTTGACGTTCCATGCTATCAACCACAATTGTTGTGTGCGAGATGGTGATAATACCTAACTTCTCAGGTTGATGTACGTGGAATGGGACTCGAACCCGGGACCCCCTGACTGAAAGTCAAGTGCTTAAGCTAGTAAGCCACATCTCCATGCATACTAGTTTGGTATTTTATTGATCAATAAGTACGTAAAAAAAATACCAAAAATGATGGAAAAATGTAAACTTGGAAAAATAAAATGCAAAAATTAGCATAGACCATGAAGGAATGGTAAGGCACAGCTTGAAATCATGTACTCTACATACAAATATACATATATAGCAGTTTTAATTACGATTTAGTATATATATATATATATATATGTTTTCTAACACACTTAAAATCAATTGTCTACCTATGCAAATAAAACTAATTGATGCATTGAACACAGTAGGCGCTTTGTGTAATGAAAACGCAACTAAATCTATTGATAACTTGATGAATCACATTTTAACAGCAATTAACAAATAACAAAGTGGAAAAAAACGGCGCAATCATCAGTTCGTGATAAAATTCATACTGAACAATTATCAAGAATTAGTTTATAGAGATTTGATTTGTTTCAAGTTTGTGCACGGATCGACATCAGTTAGAGGATCGTTGGAAATAATCAAGGAGTACTGGACAACTGCGTCGTCTTAGTTTTCCACT